TATTTTTGTATTGTCGACGTAAAACTGTGATATAGATTAAGGTAAGATGTAAACGTAATTATTTGAATCCCAAGAGTTTCCAAATGCTCTTGCGCCAAAGAAAGACTCATAGTTAATGGGTCAAATCTCCGCCAGGGATCCAGATTGCACTATGTTGACTCTGACAATGTATTTCTATTGTATTAAAGGTAGCTAGTTAAGGAACAGGTATATATTTGTAGTACGAAACCTGCATAGAGTTTTTTACTGTTAAAACCTTAAACTATTGGTTTTAAAATCAATTTATGCACTGCAACAAGCTGCACTGTTCAAAGATATATTGTAGATATAAAATCGTATAATAAGTATTTGAAATCAATGTTGTTCATTCTATATTTACGTATCCATTTTGATAATTAAAAGCCCTTGGAGTGTAATTATAAGGTAAACCAGCTTACACTTGTTTAGTACACTTTGTTTTGTTTGTGTTGTTTGTGTTTTGTTTGTTACACTTGTTTGTTATTTAGGGACAAAATAAACAACAATGAAAGTTGTTTGGGAAACAAAAAAGATTTTATGGCAAAGTAAACCTATTAAATTCTAAGAGTTTTTTTTATTCTTTGCTTTGTTTTAAATTTATGTCAATTATATATGAGTAAAGAATTAAAAAATGCATACACTCTCTAATCCAGTTGGCCGCGATCCAAAATAACATTTTATACACTTTAAAGTCAATTTCAAGTAACTTCTTGAGGGAATATGATTTTATATTCAATTCGCATGCACGCTTCAAGTGCAGTGGGATTGAATATTCAATACGCGTTAATTCTGAATGTTACCACAGTCAACGTGGCGATACACATACTGGATATATATTCAATATGTATTATCAATCTGACCATAGAACAGCACCTGTCTCTTAGCTGAGAAGCATCTACAATACACTAAGTCTTCGTTGGTATCCATAATACATCCGACAAGGACACTTACGTCCATCACGTTAAATCAACGCACACATATTATATTGACCTGTGTATGTTAGATCATTCTATTGAGCATGACAACGGATGGTCTAATCAAATTTCCCACACTTTAAAAATATTTTTCCAGGGGCATTGCTTATTTCGTCTTAACCACAACATTTATTAATACTTAACGAGAGGTCGTCCAGTGGTCGAAACTCGACCAAAAATATGTAATGTACTCACTTATCTATTTTCACCCCACACTGTAAATAAAACATGTGATTGGAGTTTCTTCCATTTGTTTTGATTTTCTGTTTATATTTCGTTGTTATTTCGTAACCAGCATAGCAACGCATAAGATCCATGTTAATTTTTTCAAATTTTAAACTTATTTTTTGTGCTTATCTTTGAGCCTATTTAAATTTATAAAGGGATTCTGCACACCTACAGGAAAATAGCTTTCCAACGGTATGCGTAGATTTTCCCTACGATACACACGAGCTGAGAAAACAGGTTTTAAAGAAACATGCTTGCCTATTAATATATAGATAGATTAGAGACAAATTTGAGACCTTGCTAAGGGGTCTAATCAAATCGATTGTATTGCTGTAGAATATTAATAAATGATTATAATAGAGGCTTTAAAAAATATTTTTACCAGGTGCAATCTTATTTAATATAACTTTGTCATTTGATAAATTATAAACTTATATTAATGATTAAGTACAATGCATAAACCTTCAATATTCCAAATTACCTTTAAGGACATATTTTTATGTGTTAAAATCAATAAAAGAGTTACCTAAAACAATAGTTTAATACTTTGAATGAACAAGATTTTAAACAATATGAGCAAAATTTAAATTTGTTCTTGAGGACTTTATCTTTTCTCAATAGTTCGTAAGAAAGTCAGATATTCATCAAAATTCCACCCAAGCTCTTTTAAACATAAACTCGACACAACGGAACAGTTACATACATATTTCCACTTTATAACGACATTTATTATCTGTACCACAAAATTAAAAACACTTTTGAAACCCACTTAACGCAAATTGCTTAAACTTAAACCATACACATATATCATTCAAATTCCTGAAGTAATGGAGCTAGAGTAAACTAAAGACAATAAAGTTAAGTACTACAACATTGGGAGTACAATTACGCGTCTAAGTACTACATTGTGTTGGGACTTTGGCACAAGAAGCGAACAATTAGATTTATTTTGTTTGTAATAGCCACTTTAAACTCGTTTAAAAGGAGATGTATCTTTGAATCTATTTCTCTTACATTTTATGTTTAAAATGTTTTTTTAATAAAGTGTATATAAAATAATAATGTAAAGTGTAAATAATGTACAGCAACTATGTATGTATTCAAATATGATGTCATTTTAGTTTTTATTAGTAGTTTCAAAAAGTATGACATTCTTTCATTTTATGTTTGTATTTTTTGTGACGTAGTTGAATTATAGTTTCGAAAAAAAGTTCATGAACAATGTGTTGGTTAGAAACATAAAATCTCATGAATCTTGTACATATAATTGAACCAGAATTTGATCACGTGTTCAAGTTTACAGTATTTCACTAAATAGGTAGTAATTCACTAGACTCTTTATTTTTACGACCCTGAAATTATTAATTTTATAAAATACTTTGTGTCAAGATCCGACGTGATAATCATGAATTTGTTACTTGGTCAAAAAGGGGGTGTTAAATGCAATCAAACATGTTCAACATATATATTGTAAACATATATTATATTGCATAACATGCGGTTATATATTGGGGGGTTTAATATCAAAAAGCTTCATGCTTCAACACATAACTACATTAACTTTTATCAGAAAGGAAACGGGTAATACATTAAACTATTCCCTTCTGTAGAATTATATCTTATTTTCCCATCTCAGATACCAGTGGAAACTGAAGCTTAAACGGACATTCTCTGTGCATTTAGCCTATGGAGGAATATCCTTATTTAGAACGACCCCACATTGCATGGAGACAAGATATGTGTCCGTACCACCTAATACGAAATTCACATAAATAATATAACAATTTCACACAGTTATTAGAGATGAAGTGGACATACTGATATAAACACCATCACAGAGTATATAAACAGCATATATACAGTAAAGTCTGACTCCCTAGGTATGTTTGTATATAGACGCTAGGATTTTATTGTTGCCTTACTAATTCAAGTTTAGCTTTTTGTGTTATTTCAATAATCACATACTGTTTGTAATTAGTAATATTGCAATAAATATATCTCAACAACCCCAATCACATGTTTTAATTCGATGTATACTGTTAAGGTGTTAATTTGTGTAGCTTTATATATCCTAAGGTTTTGAACCTATAAAAGACCACGTAACGTAGGGTGCAGAAAGTGCATGTTATACAATTTCATGAATAAATAGTTTCGGTATACATTAAAAGTATACATGCAATATACTTGTGATGAGTTTTTTTTTTGGGATCACAACCCCACGTTTTATCGTATAAATACACTTTATCTCAATTAAATAACACGAGCTTCAATAAGCTAGCTATATGAGAATAGTCGAATTTTAATTAAGATTGACAAACAATAACGAACAGTAAACATTACCTGATATGTTTGATTGAGTTTAATTAACCAGGGATGGGATTGTATTAAATCAATATTTATATCTGTAAAATTAATTGTTTTACTGATGAGTTTCAACTGACTGTGTATCTAAGTGGTTATAGTTCACTATTCAGTCAAAAGGTTCGATTCTGGGAAGTGTGAGTAGCTATTTACATTGCCACGGCCAGAACTGGAAGCAGACTCTTGTTTTTTCTCCTAAATATTAACAATCACTTACATTGAGAAACCTATAATGGAAGTATAAAAACGATACTGAGGTTAAACAACACAATGCCTCGGAAAATTGAAGGAAACCTGATTGTAACTTCACAAAATGTGTTTACTTCATCCAATTCTTAGGCAGGTCTTCAGCTTGATGTTTAGGATTGCTTGATCACGTTAAACAAGTAAAATGTTTGATATGTAACATTTTTATTTAAAAAAAATAGTAAAATTATGTTCACTTAACTCAACGTGTTACATAAAAGTATACATAGTTTAATTGATTTAAATACTAAAGATAGTACATTTAAGAACAAACTTTTTTAACTCCTATCTTTGGACTTTCCTTCTATCTTTCATAAACAAAAAAAAACATTTTTTACAAATAACTAATATGCGATGGATTGCATTTTTATTTAACGCTGCCCAACCATTCTTTGTGTTGTGTGTTGTGAATACGGTTAAAAAAGTTTCACCACCAAAAGTATTTGTTTTCTTTGTATTTTTTTAAAGAAAAATAAAAATTTATCGAACTACAAAATGTCCGTAAGAAATGTATGGGTGAGAGTTTTTATTTGGGTTTATCTTCTAAATGAAAAAGATATTGAAAAACGGATTTCGGCTTTGAAATCAGTGTAAAAATCTAGTTTGTAATGATGTGTCACAACACTATCATTACATAAAAAAAAAATTATCCATGTCCAATATGGTGGATCCAAGTTGGCGGCGAAAACCTTGTTCCCTATTAAAATGAATTACTAACCACCCAATAAATATAGACAATAAATATATTGACTTGGTGGTTCCAAGTCAATATCTCGAAAAATGTACATAACAAATGCATGTTAAATTATTTTTATTTTCCAATATTGGGAAAAGTCGCCATTTTAAATTGTGATTTTAGTGCCTTGATTTTTGGAAACTTTTAGTATGACATTCTGCATACCCAACGCTACAAAATAAAACCATAAAACGTTTTCTTGCAATTTTAACGATCCCTGTGTAAGTTTTTTTAGTTTGCTTGGACTAAACATTAATGTGGGTGTAAACTCATCATTGTAGTGAAGAAAAGAAAAAAAGTAATGCAACTTGTTTTTATTTGTTCATGTTTAAACTTTCAGATTGGTATTTTTGAATTCAGGTGTTCAGGTTGATGAAGCTTATTGGCGCCATATTTTTGTCAGATCGATTATGCCACTTAATAGGCAATTAATAGTAATTTGACTACATACATCCAGAGATAGAAACATGTGCAAGTTTAGTTCGACCCGTATGCCTGTACTATGAAACTTATATCAACTGTGGTTTTGGGGGCATTTCTGGTAAGATTGTACCTGTATTCTATTTACTTATTTGCATTTTATTTTTTTTATTTAATAAAAAAACATTTAGTTTTTATGAGTAGTTTTTTTGATATCGAATAGCATGCATTACACGTGTGATTCGAGTTTATTATTTCAGTTTCATATACTTTTCGATTTAAGATCCAAACTTTTAACACACACATTTTTTTTCTTCAAAGATTATATAATTTTTAAGATTATATAATGTCACTTCGTAATAAATATTAACCTATGATAGTTGTCGTTTTTTAAATAACTTTTGATCCATTCAATTGGCAAAGCACCTATAATAGTCGTATTAGTTAGTGTCTGATTGCAGAGGCTATACTATATGGGTTTTATCATACAATAAAGCTATTTAACAATCCATTAAAAAAAATATAGTTCGCCATTACATTACTGTCTGATTGTAGATGGACATTTAACTGAAGGTTCAGCTGTTCTTCAATCACAAGACCCAATTAAAACCTAAAAATATGTTATTTCTTCACTAGGGTGAAACGTGACTCTTTTCTATCCGAGTTCAAGTTTTACGATCGAGGTGAAGCCGAGGTTGGATGATGAGCGAGTGTTAAAAAGAGACATTTTGTCCGTGTGATGAACAATATTTTTCGTCACAGTGCAGTATTATGTAAGGACCCTATTACATTACGGTAGCTAGCCACGTATGGAAGCCGGTTCGTCAGCCACGTCGCCAGCCACGTCGTTAGCCTCGTATCAAAACCGTCGTGTAGCAGGCTGCGTCATCAGCCACATCACCATCCACGTCGTCATTTACGTCGTCAGCCATGTCGTCAGCTACGTTGTCCGCCACGTCGTCAGCCACGTCGTCAGCCTCGTATCAAAACCGTCGTGTAGCAGGCTGCGTCATCAGCCACATCACCATCCACGTCGTCATTTACGTCGTCAGCCATGTCGTCAGCTACGTTGTCCGCCACGTCGTCAGCCACGTCGTCAGCCTCGTATCAAAACCGTCGTGTAGCAGGCTGCGTCATCAGCCACATCACCATCCACGTCGTCATTTACGTCGTCAGCCATGTCGTCAGCTACGTTGTCCGCCACGTCGTCAGCCACGTCGTCAGCCTCGTATCAAAACCGTCGTGTAGCAGGCTGCGTCATCAGCCACATCACCATCCACGTCGTCAGCCGCGTCACAAGCCACGTCACCAGTCACGTCACCATCCACGTAGCAAAACCATCGTGTAGCAGACCGCGTCATCAGCCACGTCACCATCCACGTCACCAGCCACGTCACCATCCATGTCACCAGCCACGTAGCAGGTCACGTCACCATCAATGTCTCCATCCACGTCACCAGCTACGTCACCATATACGTCGTCAGCCACGTCACTATCAACGTTACCATCCACGTCACTAAACATTTCACCATCCATGTCACCAGCCACGTAGCAGGCCACGTCACCATCAATGTCGTCATCCACGTCACCAGCCACGTCACCATCCATGTCACCAGCCACGTAGCAGGTCACGTCACCATCAATGTCTCCATCCACGTCACCAGCCTCGTCGTCAGCCACGTCGCCAGCCACGTCACCAGACACGTCACCATCTACGTCGTCAGACACGTCACTATCAACGTTACCATCCATGTCACTAAACATTTCACCATCCATGTCACCAGCCACGTAGCAGGCCACGTCACCATCAATGTCGTCATCCACGTCACCAGCCTCGTCGCCAGCCATGTCACCAGCCACGTCACCATCCACGTTACCAGACACGTCACCAGCCACCGTAGTGTAAAAGACTGCCATATAAGTAAATGTTACAACGTGCACTTCCACAGCTTGGAGCTTGAAGGGTTAAAATGTCACCTGTTCAATAGTGTAAGCAAAGCTTGAGATTCTGTACAAGCCAAGAATACTGTGCATTTGTAATCCATGGGTATTTCTTGTTAAGTGTTGTACGGCATGTGTATCAGTTGGGGATTCATTATACAGTGGATTCGTATAACAGGCAGATGGTTAATTTTGTTTTACTTTGTTAAACAATTATGCTGCACTAATACAGGGTGGGAAAAAAGGCCCAGGAAGGATAATATTTCAAAAAGTAATATAGATAGAGCATCAGAACTTGGTACACAGTTACTGGACATCAAGATCATTTAACACATTATTCAAAGAAGCCCAGCCTCTTTAGGGGGAAGGTCCTCTAGGAGTCAGAAGAGCATTTTAAATGTAAGCATAGGTTGATATGAATATTAAATTAAATTGTCTTTGTTAGTAAAATACAATGCGGCATATCCAAACTCAATCGTACGACGGAGTAAAAAATCATAGCTATTCAAAGATGCATTAAATTTGCATTGCTATTGTATTCTTCCTCCGCAGGGCGGCACCCGCTAGAAGTTGTGGTAGCCGTTCAAATATTTAAAATGGGAGATTCGAGAAATCTTTGAACGGCTACCATTTTTGACTCGGTAGTCCGTTTGAGTTCAAGTTTGTGGCATAGTATTCTAAGTGTAAAGGTCTTTAACGTGATTTTCTTATCAACCTATGTTTACATTAAACACGAACTTCTGACTCCTAGTGGGCCGTCCCCCTGAAGAGGTAGTGTATCACTGGATCATGTGTTAAAATTATGACGATACCCAGTAAATGTGTACCAAGTTTTATAGTTCTATCTTTATTTATTTAAAAAAAATTTAATTGTCCTGGGACTTTTTCCCCAACGTGTATAAAAATAGCAAGGAAATTAAGAATGTACAGTGTTTTCCTCCGTTGTCTTTATTTTAAAAACATCCATGTACGATTTTCTACCGCCCAGTTTTAGGTCTCGTCGGTAATTTATTCTTTTCAGTGGAGAAGTTTGCTAAAATAAATATGTTAATCTAATTAGTTCTATGTAACGGCACCAAACGTTTGTTATGTTGTGTATTTTTCTTCGATCATGTGTTTGTCGCATCACGTCAGCATGACATCATGTCATACATTAGATCATACTATGATGTTTTATCTTTCTACCTTCAATGTTTAGGATCAACATGTTTACGTGTAAGATTGTGTTCAAACTGAAATGTGATTATACTGTTGCAGATACCTCAGAGCCTAGCTGAATTTGGATTTGGATTATTTTCGAAGGGGACGGAAACCAAAGGCCATGGTAACACTGATATTTATTAAATCAAAATTTCTTTATCTATACGGTTATTTTAAAACTTAGGTCACAGCGTGTATGTGTGTGTGCGCGCGCATGTGTGTGGGTTTGTTTGTTCGAGTGTGACTTTTAAAACATTTTTATAAAAATGCAAAATTAAATATATTTTTTTTATGTTATCAAAAACAACTAACATACATTGAAATTTTCTACCAAATCAAAAACCCTAAGCTACATAAAAACGTTTGTAAATTTATTATTATTACAAACAAAACAAGTCTATTTACTTTTACTTTTACCATTACAAAGGTGTTTACAGTTTTTTTTCGTAACAATATTAAAGCATCAATCTTTCTTTGATAATGTTATTATTATTTTTAATGAAGCCGTATATTTATCTTTCAGTTGTGGACTTTCCTCTACAAAAACATGCGTTTTATGAGTCACGCCAAACCTTGCCGAAGCAGAACGACCCAGAGGATAATATGAAAAGTGGTGGAATCGCTGAGAAAAACATTAAATTCGTACTTGGAAAGACTTTGCTTCTTAAATGCGTAGAAGTGAACAATGAATTGATAATGTTTGTATACGGCTCAGAAGGATACTTCATAGATAGATTGAAGGTAGACAAAAGCAAAAAGTTTGGTTGCAATCAATTGTTGGAAAACATTTCTGTACGGGACGATCCGACTTGGAGTTTAACACCCGAACGTACTAAGTTTGAATTCAACATCATCTACAAGTTTACTGTGGGGAGGAAAGGTCGGACATATAATTGTCTCACCAGAACATACACGGTAGTCATCTATCTTCACTATCCCACATTGGAGAGAGGAGCCGGAAAAATGACGGATTGCAATGGGGCTGAGACTGTAAGTTTAAACTGCCTACTGTAATACGTACGTCAATGTGACAAAATACATCTCAACCAACCCATATGGTCTTGCAAAAGCCAGGAATGTCTTGAATGTGGCTGTAATTTTATTGTTAGACAAATTTTATATTAAAAGAAACCCATGAGGCTTCAACTGCACTTTATTTATAGTATAACATTTCTGCGTTGCGAACTGTTACACCAAATTGTAATTAATATAAGGATTGTAGTATGATAATTGTAACTAATGTCCCCACAAGCCACTAGTAATAAATATATCGGCAACTGTTCATAGATAAAACCATACACAGATAAATATACGCCCTTAGTAGATTCATCATCCTTATGAAACGACTGAAGCCAATTTTTGTCTTGTTTACAATTTGTTTCTTATAATTTCAGTAATTTAAAACCACGTTTTACTAAATAAAACGATCTAATTATAAACAATAACTCGTCCACTATTTATATAACTAAACGGTAAAGCACCAATCATGAAATGAACCCTAAAATAATAGAAAAAATATTTCGTCAACACTAGCGATCAGTTTCACCAGACATGAACTAGACATGAAAAACGAGCTTCACAATTTACAATGGGATGAGAAGTCTACTTGTGTTGGTTAGTCTATGCTGTTATATAGGCATAACAGTAATGTGGTTTTTTACCATTGTTATTGCACTTATTTACCCTAAAGGGGACGAAAAATTTATCAAAGCTCAAATTTATGAATAACTTCTTGATTAGCATTGTAATTGTTATTGAATTACAGAAAGTAAATAAAAGATACATCCAATAACACCTACCAATGTAGGTATTTTAATCTAGAATTAATGGTAGTGTAAAAATAGTGGCACGATCGTGTAGTCTTGTTAGTGACCAAGATCGGCATATTCTATGGATTAAATATACTATTACAATACTTATCTTTAGGTTTAGGTATTACTATACTTATATCTTATATCTTTAGGTAACTCCCTATGATTTAAATCACGTTTAGATAAACATTTATTACAGCAGCCTACCTCTTACTAAAAATTGTCATTTCATTTTTTTCAGGGTACTGAAAATTCTGAAAGGGGTAAGTATTCACGATTAAAATAACACCCTTTTCTCGAACTAGATTTATTATCTACAACAGTTGTTAGAATATAGTTGAAAACTAGCATTTGATAGAACCGTGCTCTATGTGTATTAAATGTATTCTCTTTCTAAAAAAACTGTTCTATAGATTTTCTTTTACAATAAATAAAAAAAAAACTAAAATTAAAAAAATATATTTACTTATTTTATTATAATGAATTTACTGTGTTTTATAGCATACTTATTACCACGGGGAGATAACGAAATCATCAAATTTCACCTAGATGGTGATCCTTTTGAAACACCTGTCATCAACACTTTCAAAACTGGCCTCAAACTCATTTGCCAACGATACAACACGATCCCGGCCGGATATAAAATATCAGTAGGATTTATAATGTATGAAGAAATAATCTTGGAAAGGTTAACTCTAGACTCGTGTAAACATGGAGATGAAGGAATGTACATCAACATAAAGAAAGTAAAGAAATACCCTGATGCAGACAAAGAATTTACACTGGTGTTCCAACTAACTAATGGATACTGTTATAAAATGGACATTTGGTTTCAGTTTGTGGACAGTGTAAAAGATGTGGTTAATATTCGTCGGTACGCTCCTGGTGAAGTCAGTTGTCCAAGTGATTGGACTAGTGACGCTGCAATGGACGTCCAAGCGCCTTGGTACAAAAGACTTACTGGGGTTTTCGGATAGACTCATCTGATGGAAAAGATTTATCAACTAAATAAAATCATGTTGACATATTATTGGCTTATTTACAACCATAGCGTAGTTAGGTAAAGTTCGAAGAGATTCAACGATATTTTAGATTAAATATAAGTTAGATATTTTATCGACTCAGGTGTACTTTTCGTGAGTCATAAATATCGAATGTATGATTTTCATGACTCACACACTGATTTTCACACACTACACTGCGGTAAGGTTAGGTTAGGTTGCATTCTACTTACTTTGGAATATGATAATAACCAACAAGATAACATAAAAAAATTTAGAAAATTGTTAAAGGGATGAATTTAGTCCTTATTTAGGCATGTTAGGATGGGAGGTCGTTCTTTATGTTGATTTGGGACTGTATTAAGTGTTTTGAAGTTAATTTAGATTTGGAAGGTAAAGTTTGAGTCATAATGAACCGAGTTGTTGGTTTATGTTATCTCTTTTATGTTATGATTTTTTTCGTCTAATTAGAACCCTGGGTAAGACACTGCAAAATACTATTTCAAAACTGTTTGCAGTATTTAATATTTTTGGACCAGCTGCATGGAAATGTGAAATCAAAATTAAGTTTACAATTCTGATTGTTTACATTTAAACATTGTGCGTTTGTTCTTTGTTACCGTGGAGATCAATAAATATTTAATTTTAAAACTCTCACCTCAGAACTTTGAAAGCCCGCGGGGCAGAATTCTAGGTCAATTTTGAAGGAAGGATAGTTGTGTATCCTCGGAGGTGCAGCTTTTTATAATTAATTCGAGCCCATTTTTGGTTCAATATTTTTTTGTGTATCTTATACAAACACACAGACAGACAGAAATGACCTCTTATTTATAATAGCATGGATGTTATAGCCAGTTGCCATGTATTGCTAGGAGAATCGTTTTGTAAAACTGATTTTTGATAGCTATAACAATATTATTAAGAAATTTGAAGGGGATTTTAGACACATTTATTTTTGAAACTGATAAAAATCGTTACAAAATACACACAAGAGTGTTGTATACAGAACGTGAAATAACAGTCAACCCCAGACACCGGATATTACAACTGTATTTTGGAGACTAGTTCTACCTCAAGCAACACATCCCACATCCAGAGTATTTATACTTTTCTAGAGTTTACACCTTTCAAATTTCCAATAGTAAAATCATTGAGCTATTTAAATCCTGTAATGGGCTATTTATTTTGTGTATTAGATGTACATAAATACTTAAACTTGAAAACTTTGAGGATTAAAATATAAATTTAATGGTTCTCAACCCAAATCATTACCATTTAAAGGTATCTAAATGGACAATTATAGGACTAAACTAATTATGGTAGTAATAGACAAAGTTTTGTAAATATGTTTGAGATGACATAACAATATAGTCCCGTGCCTTTAATCCAGATTAAATTATTAATTTAAGTCAATGTTGTATATACATAATATATTATTTAGATAGCAAAAATATATATATATATATTTTACAATCTTAGTTCAAAAAGAGTCCTCCGTCCTACGTTTGCTAGTCATTTGTGAATAATTATGTATCATCATTAAACATTACATTGTACACAATTCGTTAATTTTAATCAAAATTACTAAGATCAACTTATTTATCTTGTTTTGCTTTTACCAAAAAATCATTCTGTTATACGGCTTTATTTTTTTATACAAATAAAAAGGTAAATAAAGCTATAGGTGTAAAAGTAAGAAAAACAATAATCTTCCTACATAATGTTGAACAAATACTACAAATACCAAACATACTCAATATCAAGTATAAGAGCTATACAAAATCCTAAATCCATAAAAGCTTTCCATCTAAATGTTTTGCACAAACTGAAACCAAAACATTAGAAGCCACACTGTCGCCTGTCACAGAGATAAAACAATGACTTTTGTCACCAACAATGATTCATCGACAGCTGATCATTTCATTACGTCACCTAATTTGACGCGTAACAAATGATAACCAAACACATGATCAATCTCTTGTTTTAGTAGTTCAGGCTTGGTGTTCACATAAGTTTTAACCATCGTGATTTTTACTGTGATTAATATCAAAACTAGTACTCTGTTGCATAGTTTATAGTAATGTAACATCTGTGATACAGAGTAATGTTAACTCGTCTAAAATATACAGAGTGTCCCGTTAGTAAACAGCAAAACTCCGGAAAATGGTTCTATGGGTAAAATAGAGATAAAATCAAGATTAAAATTTTTCACATAAACATTTTTATCTCTGGATATTTTTTACGATCATTAAGAAACTTGGTATGTATGTTGAAATAAAACAGACCCGCGTCAGTAAAAGAAATTATCCTAATTAAATGTAAAATGCAGTATCAATATGGCGATAATTTGAATTCTTTTAATTGAAATTGCTAAAAATGGATAAATTTATGAAATAAATTCTAAAACACTTTTACTAACCATTCTTCATTCCCTATCAAACGATGTAAAGATAAAAAAGATAAAATTAAAAATTTGCTGAAATAATGAATTGCATGATTTTCAGTTGTAAAATGTGGAAAACCTGACTAGCTTAGCCTTATTCTACCCCATTTGACATATAAATATCGTTATATCTCTGTTATTTTTATTCGATCATTTTGAACTTGGTATCGTTTGATAGGGAATGAAAAAGGCTAAATAAAAGTGATTCATAAAATCAGCCATATTTTAGTAATTTAACATTGAAAAACTTAAATGGCCGCCATTATTAATTTTTAGTTTAATCAAGTTACCTTTTTTTTTAACATTGTCACCTTATGCACTTAACATGACCTTAACATACATACTGTACCATATTTCATAAATGTCGGTTGAACGAATTCAAAGATAAAAATTGTCATGTAAAAAATTGAAAATGACGGATATCTATTCTTGATTTTCTCTTTATTTTTACCCAAGGAACAACTGTATAAATTTCCCCACGATTTTCGAACACCCTGTATATTTTAAATAGGTAGACTAATCTACAGCTTAAGATGGACTCAATAACTGAGGGATGTCATATTTATTATGGACATAAAAGATATTTGTGATCGAGGATTTTTGGACCTCGGACTACAGAATTAAGGCACCAAACTAGACTAGCCTAAAACAATATTGTTTACAAATATTTTACAACAGACACTTAGGAACAACATCCTTTTCTTAGTAGAATCAGTAAATGTTTATTCCAAGTTTCTAGCTATGTATGTTTATTTTTTTATACTCAAATCATTTTATAAAGTCAAATCTTTCTTTGGCACAAAAGACATCGTGGCTTTAACAAAAACTACAATGGGTTGAACGTTGTTATACTCCTTTTGTAATTAGATTTTATAAAGATTTTTTGAAAATATGACTACATCGTTGGAAGTAAAGGAGAATAGATAAAAATCAACGTTACTTTTATAATCGACTTCTTCGTCGATACAACTATCAACTGTGGTAAAAATACAAGCCCAATATTGTTTATTTTGAGAATCCGTTTTATTTTTTTATACAGGGTGAGTTTTAATTGTCCCCCCCCCCCCAACTTTTTTCTACATTTTTTCAAATATCAATCCCAGACCACTTCCAAACATTGTTGGGTAGTAAGTACTTCATTTTGACAAGGTGGCCATTTCCGGCAGCCATCTTGGATCCGCCATATTGGATGCAAAATTTTTCAAATGTAAAGGTGGGGTTGTGACCCATTATTTCGAACTAAATTTTTACCCTGATTACAATGCCGCAAACCGTTTAAAAAAATCTTGATTCATTCTAAAGTTATGAGGGCTTTTTAAAACTTTATTTTTAGCCCATTTTAACATTGTGCATTTACAAACTAAGACCATAATCTCAAAATAGTGCTAAATAAAGATAAGTATACACTACCAGTAATTGTCGACCTATTTTCACTTGGTTATGACTGATGTATTTTTTTCGGCCGCCATCTTGGATCCGCCATTTTGAAATGTGATAAATTATTTTAAATATGAAGGGGGCGTTGTGACCCATCATTTCGAACTACTTTTTTAAGCTGAACTTAATTCCATGATCCGTTTTTCATTTTCATTTTTTGATTTTGAAATATTGACATTTTTAACAAACAAATTTCAATATTTCATAAATAAAACTTGATAACAAAAAATGGATTGCGGCATTGTCTGGGATTGATATTTGAAAAAATGTAGAAAAAAGTTGGGGGGGGGGACAATTAAAACTCACCCTGTATAAAAAAATAAGAAAAATATATTTGTAGTTATTTCTAACTAAGTACGTTTAGTACACTTAGTTTTTTTGTTGGATGAAGTAGATATTTAGTATGGTTTTAGTATGGTTTTTTCATTACAAAATGAAATACCAAACAGTTGGAATTTCGTTCCCCATTAAATATAAAAAAATATTTACAGTTGATTATGAATGGCATAAGCAACTTTCTTATTTTGTTTTATAAATTACGGTTGGTGCTAAAACATGCTAAAAAAGTACTAAAACATAATATTTCTATGAATTCAGTAATCTTAGTATGAACCTTAGACCCCGTTAGATATTTAGTATACTCAAGTATTAGGTTACAAGTACATAGAAATGAAATGAAACATAAAGTGTTTATTTGATAAATTTAACTCAAGATGAACATAATCAAATTAATACAGAACTAATGAGCGTGTAAGCCACAGCAAGTCTGTTTGTGACTTGTGAAGACAATCTCTTACAGTTACCAAGATATGTGTCAACAATGTGTAAGAAACTGTTATCGTAACAAAACTGGAGATGACATCGACAATGACGTCATAAAATTTCAGCTGCAAGTAGAACAGCTGATTTGTCGTAAGTTAATTAATTACAAACAACCTCTACTACCAGACAATCTTTATAGATATTTACAGAATATTACAGAACTACAACAGTACTTCGACAAAACGTATAATGTAGTGGTTTCAATATACATTTTACATTGTAGTGCTGAGGTTAAGACTTGACATGCTTACTCTAGGGAAGCATAACCGTCACAGCATTGTTTTCTTCCACATCTTCCTTACCGGGAATTGAAACTTGCACTTT